TAACTCAACATCTGAACATGTAGGCTTTTTTTTGTATGAATGTAAAAAAAAAAAAAATCAGTATGTTTTGTTGACTTGAACTTAACATTGAAATGTATGCAACTGTGTAAAATATTTAAACGACACCCAGCCTCACCCTGCATACAGTATGTGTGATATGTGTCTGCATGTCAATGTTTGAAGCAGGGCAGAACCCAAACAAACACAGCATGTGTGTACCTGAAACATCCAAGCCTGCAGGGTCAAAGTCACCCAGCTCTCCATGTACACTGTAGATCCCCTTCGTTCACCTCCATCATAGCTCGGTCTGTGATCAGCTGAGTGAGGAGTGAACATGTAGATATGATAAAGTATGTGTTTGGGTGACAGGTTGGGGTTTTGATTTGCTAGAATAATAACAAGACACCATTGGATATTACAGAAATATGTTCATGGTTGTATAATGGAGGTAAAAGCAAATAATTCACATTGTTTTGAGGAAATATTGAGAGACAACACTGACTAAAATGTTCACTTTAAACTTAATCCTACTTTTTGTCAATAATCTTTCCTTAAGGAATTATATTCATGTGTGAGTCTTTCTAAACGGTGCGACTGGTCTCCTTGGCTGTCGCCTGAGGTCAAAGGTGCACATTTTTTCACATTGTTTATGTTACTGAAACATTGAGAAACAAACAGGATGGCTCTATAGTGTGTGGATCACTGAGAATGTGCACCAGTCTGCTGCTGTTTGTGACAAGTGCAACAAGTGGAGGAAAGTCTGCACGAATCGTGGAAGTAAAAGTGAATTTAGTAGCTCTTTCTGAGTGACAACTGGTGTATCTGCCATGCAGTTAGCACCTCCCATTGGGGTATTCTTAACAACTTATAAACAAGCTAAAAAGAGAGTGTTATTGTGCACACTTCTGAGTATTTGACCTAAGTTTGGGAAAATAATTTCAGTGATTTCTGAAATTGTCTAGTAATCGTGTTTGGAGCTGTTAACCAACATGCTTTTTTAAATACATTTTATACTATTCAGTATTCAGCAGTTTTACTCACCCACACGCATGTTTACACACACACACACACACACACACACAGACACATGCATGCATGCACAGACAGGAACGCACACCCTGCACATAGTACTACACACACACACACACAGACAGTCAGATACACAGTGAACAGTAACATCTGCAGACAGATGGGTGTGTGTAGCCCTGGAGCAGGGATCTGAAACAGAGACACATTCATCCGAGGAGCCGGGGAGAGGAAGGATGTGTGAGAGAATGAGAGAAAAGAGAGAAAGCGAGGGAGATGGATCAAATGAAGTAGGAAGATAGAGTGTCTCTCTTCTCTTTTCAATAGAGGACACATTGTTTGGCCTGTGCGCACATGTGTAAGTGCGTGTGTTTGTTCCCTTTGCTTGAATCGGCCAGAAAGAGAAACGCCTGTGAGTTTGCATACTGATGCTGTTAATTAATGGAGCTTTTCTAGACAGCTGCAGCGCTACACTGTCATTATGTCATTAATCCAATCACTTCAGAGGGAAAAATAAGTTCAGCATGACGTTTGAGCTCGCAGCTATTTCCATAAAGAGTGTCTGTTGGTGGAGGAATGCCACTTTTTTCCCATTTGTGTATTTTTGTTTTGTTAAGGGATTCATTAAAGAAGAATGATTGTTATTAGTGTATTTTTTGCTCATGCTGATCATACCATCACCTATCACCAGTCAGTGCTTAAGATGTGGGATAGGATATGTATATAATATCACTCTGTTTGGCAGTACTCGGAGGGTTCAAAACTGAAAATTTTGTCTAAGAGCGAAGCAGCTGAACTCCACATTGTCCCATGAAAATGATGTAACTCCACGTTTGGTGAATAATATGTTTGAAGGATTACATGTTTTTATGAGTTGAAACCCATGGTTGAATCCACTGGATTATTCATTGTGAGAGATGGATTGTCACCAAGCCTTAAACTAGTTTGAAAAGCTGACATTTTTAGATTGGATTAAGTCGCACATTATCGTCAGAGTCAGCAGTAATTTGTCTTGCGTCACAATCCAACTCTATTTCACACACAAACACAAATAAATTGGACAGTAACACCGTACCTGTGACTGGGTACCTGGCTGTGAGGTGGAAAGAGGCGAGATCCAGCACTGAAGTGTTCATAAGTACTGTGCATTTAAATTCAAAAGTGTGTGCATAAAAATAGTCTATTTGTGTATTCTGCAGGGAAAAGTGCACCTGGAGCTGCGTCTGAGTGAAGTCATCACAGACAGTGGAGTCATCAACCATAAACTAGCCACAAGGTGAGACTGCGCAACCACAAACACACACACTTACACACACACACACACACACACACGCTTTCCTTTTCATTTCATTTCATTTTCTTTTTTATCAAAATAATTTGAATGTAAAGAATTACAGGCTGTGTCCTGTAGTCACAAGGATTGATTCTCTGCTGTTTATTTAAAAATAAACAGAGAACAAGGATTTCACAGTTTTATCATATATGAAAGACCCAAGTTAGGACTCACTGACTCACTCTCCTGTCAGCTGCTGTCTTTTAACCACACCGTAGGTCGGCCCACCACTTTGGTCAAATTGAAATACCTCAAAAACAGTTGGATGGTTTGACATTACATTTTGTACAGTCATCCATGATCCCCAGAGGATGAATGCTGGTGACTCTGGTGATACCCTGACTTTTCCTCTAGCGCCACCATCAGGTCAGAAGCATGTTAACATTGTCATTCTGACCATGTTAGCATCCTTACATTAGCATTTAGCATGAAGTACCTAGTTAGTACAACACCCACTCAATAGTTTACGCAATAGTGAGCAGTAAAATGAGATTTCGGACATTTATCATTACATCATAATTTTACGTCGTCACTGACAGCTGTTGAGTCACGCAACTGCAATTTTGCATCCATAAAATGTTAAATTGTTAGAGGGAAGTAATGTTTATGGCATGAACATTACTTTTTTCACTTCATGGTGGGATTTTTTATACCTACTGCAACACATCCTTCATCCAAGGTGCATGGCTTGTTGCCCGGCAACAGCTTTTACCTGGCAGTGAGATGGTTAAAGGTTGGAGGTTTTTTGTTTATAATCAATCCTCTTTTGAATGTGTGAATCAATACATTGTGGATGTGAAACTCTGCCTTTACTAGATTGTTTTCTGTTTGTGTTGCTGTGCAAATGTGATTGTACATGCATGTGATGTATGAACTTCAGTGTTTGCAGGGGATTAATGGTATGTTTATAGATGGATTATTCTGTGTGTATGTGTGTGTGCTTGTTCTTCTCTAACATGTAGCAGTAATGTCTGATGATGAGCCAGTGTGGCTCCGTTCCCAGAGCACATTGTTGGTAAGGAGCTTAGAACAGGAGGTCATCTAGTCAGATTTCTCTAGGAAGACACGTGTATGAGTGCGGGAGGTATGAGCGTCCATTCAGCTCAAACTAGCCAATTGAAAGACATCACGATCTTTTATTTATTACAGCAGGTTAAAGTGCATTTAGCCTCACTTAACATAATTACCTAAGAATACAATAGATGATACATAAAGTACAAAAATGCAAACACCTACTTCTATTTGATGATACTTATATCTATAAATTTTAGAAGGAAACATTTTTCTGCCAATACTTCTGTACTTATACTTAAGTAACAATTTTTACTTGAGAGATTACTCCACTGATTTAGGATTGCACTCCTATATCATTGTCAGATTCACGATGAAAAGTTTTCAAAAAAGTATGAATTTGCTGCAGCAGAACCAGAGGAATTATTTTCCTTCCACGCCTCGAGCTATTAATCTCAAGCACAGATGAGGAGCGGGCTACCGAGGTTTGGTGAGCGCGCTTCCGTCTAACACCATTCACCCCAACTGACACTGACTTGAGTCAGTCTATCGGATTTCGCACAACTCCCTCTCCAGCCACAAAAGGGCAGCTTTTGACGTGTAAAAAAAAATGATGTAGTTCCCCTTTAAGTAATAGTTTGAATGGAAGTGTTTTTACAGTGTGGTATTGTAAAAGATTTACTCAAGTAAAATACCTAAATACTTTTACCTAAAATTCTGACATATAGAAATGTAGCAGGTTGTGCAATACCATGAATGACATCTGAGGATAGGATTACATAATTTCACTTATATAGAACAGCGCACTCGTCAATGACACTGAATTATAATCACATCCGCTTTGTATGTGTGGTTTTGGCGCTGTGATGTAATTTGTTTTAGTAAAATTGTTTTTGACAAGGTATGTGGGCGCTGACAAGAAGCACATTAACCTAATATGACTAAAACAAATAAGTCTTCTTCACCACCACTGTCTGGCATGCCAGAGCTCACCGCGATGATGATAGAGAGAAAGGGCTGGATAGTAGGGCAAGCAGGGGTTATATAAACAAGCTTATTGGACAGGAAGCGCTCTGGCATTAGTGATGCTTAACCCAAGCCACTCCTTATTCCTTATTACCTCTGTGTGTGTGTGTGTGTTTGTGTGTGTGTGTGTGTCAGCAGAATGGTGCAAGCTGTTGCATGTGTGTCAGTTCAGTTGTGGGCAGGGCGTTTCTGTGTAATTCATCATGCGGTGTGAGTAGTGGTGCATCACTGTGACACACAGGAAGTGATTCGTCCCGCTGGGTGTCCTGTCCTGTTTGGGTGCTAATCCCCTTACAGCATGATGTCATCGGACAGGAAGAGAGAGAGAGAGAGAGAGAGAGAGTGAGAGAGAGAAGGTGAGAGAGAGAGAGAGAGATAGAAAGA